GGGCGGTGGCGGTGACGTCACGGGGAGGGGACAGGGACAGGGCCACCCCCCCCTCGCGGTGTCCCCGGGGTCGTTCCCCTCCCGTGGGTCACGGTCCCAGTAACTTCCAGTAACTTCCAGTAACTCCCAGTTCCCCTAAATCCCTTCCCAGTGCCCCCCATTCCCATCCCAGTCCCTCCCAGTAACTCCCAGTAACTCCCAGTTCCCCTAAATCCCTTCCCAGTGCCCTCCCATTCCCATCCCATTCCCCTCCCAGTTCATCCCAGTTCCCCCCAGTTCCCTCCCAGTAACTCCCAGTAAATCCCAGTAACTCCCAGTCTCCTTCAAACCCCCCCAGTCCCTCCCATTCCCCTCCCAGTTCATCCCAGTTCATCCCAGTTCCCTCCCAGTAACTCCCAATCCCCCCCAGTGAATTCCCAGTTTATTCCAGTCCCTCCCAGTGCCCCCAAATCCCTTCCCAGTGCCCCCCCATTCCCTTCCCAACATCTCCCAGTTCATCCCAGTCCCTCCCAGTCCATTCCCAGTTCATCCCAGTTCCTCCCATTCCTCTCAGTCCCCTCCCAGTTCATTTCCAGTCTCTCCCAGTCCTTTCCCAACATCTCCCGGTCCCTCCCATTCCCATCCCAGTCCATCCCAGTTTGTTCCCAGTCCATTTCCAGTCCATCCCAGTTTGTCTCAGTCCATCCCAGTCCATCCCAATCCCATCCCAGTCCATCCCAATCCCATCCCAGTCCATCCCAATCCATTCCCAGTCCATTCCCAGTCCATTCCCAGTCCATTCCCAGTCCATTCCAGTCCATCCCAGCTCCTTTAACCCATTCCCAGTCCCTCCCAGTCCATCCCAGTTTGTTCCCAGTTCATCCCAGTTCATCCCAGTTCATCCCAGTCCATCCCAGTCCATCCCAGTTTGTTCCCAATCCATCCCTGTTCATCCCAGTTTATCCCAATCCATTCCCATTCCCAGTCCATTCCAGTTTATCCCAATCCCCTCCCAGTCCCTCCCAGTCCCCCCGCGGTCCCTCACTGGTGTGAGCGGGGGAGGGGCGGGGAGGTGACCGCGGTGTCACTGTCCCCACGGGTGGGGGAGGGGTTTATAAACGCCGCGGTGACACCG